TGTTGCAATACTGCATTCATATCATTGTACATCACGCTCTCCAGCACAGTAGGTTTGTGTGTCACTTATTATTGCACATTTCTTGGTCATTCGTCTGTTCATTCCGAGCTCCCTCCCAGACTCGGCCAAATTTCATGTATTTGGCCTGCTCGCCGTGGAAGAAAAATAGCAACGATCCCCCTTCCCTTAGATAAAACGTGAAGAAGAAGAAGAAGAAGAAGAAGCTCAGAAATCAGCCAACAGATAAAGAAATATGTTTCCTAAAAACCAACAAGAGAATAGTCACGAGGCGATAAATCAGACTAATGCGGCGCTATGAAGGGAGTTATCTGCAATTATGTCATGTGGAGGGTTTTCTGCTGATTAAAACGGCAGCCTGAAGCGGGAACTCCATCAATTAAATATCATGTCGGAGAGATGACTCATGTGTAATGAACTTGGCCTGTTTCCAGCGGTATTTGCTTTGCTAGTGCAGCGGAGTAACAACTATTGTCTCATGTTATCACCTATGTGGTGGAGAAGAGAGTCTGACTGCTGTGTCCGTATGGGGGAGGGGCTGGATCCGTGACAGGGGGAGGGGCTGGATTCCCCCCTCCCCGCTCCGATCCGCCAGCGCTGACTGGCGGAACGGACGGGGGAGGGGGCGGGTACAGCTGGCTCTGCCTCTAGATAGGCAGAGCCAGCTGTCAGTCACGCAGCTGGGCGGATCCCGTCATAATTGTCGGGAGCCGCTTCAGCGGCGGCGTCTCAGTATACCGCGAGCAGCAGCTCCCTATATACTGAGCCTAGGGTGACGGGAGGACGCTAGTTTGTGTCCTCCCGTTACCCTAAGGAGAACTATGAGGAAAAGCCTTAACCCCATAGTTCTCCTTGAAATCAATCAATCAATCAATAGATATACATCATATGAGCAAAGCAGGAGCTGAATGTCTATATGTGCCAATGTAACATCTTCTAGTCTGCTAATATACATTGTTTCCTATGGCTGATCAGAGATGGACATAATGATTTGTGGTTCCTCATGAATTGAGCGGATCGAGTAACATCGCAGAGATCTAATACTTCTTGCTCAAACACACAACCAACCAACCACATGGGTGCAACTCGATGGACTTGTGTCTTTATTCAACCTCAACAACTATGTAACTATGTAACTATGTAACTATGGGGTCTATTCACAAAGCTGCAGAATGATCCAGACGTAGCATCAGCTGATCCTTCGGCTAGCTTCGGTTGCGGGAGCCCTTTGGTTCAGTCGAACCAAAGGGCTGCTGTACGGGCTATTCACTATATTCACTATAGCCCGTGCAGCTCCCGAAGGCGCTGAGCGGCTCAGCTGAGCAGAAGGCATATGCTTCAGCTGGACTGAGCCGAAGTGACAGCCGAAGCAGGGCAAACGGCCGACCGTACACCTCACAAATGACAGCTGATGACATCACGGCTGGCTCAGCGCTGGACCGAGAGCCCGACAGTGTCAGAAGAAAGGAGGGGACCCGGCGGCATACCTCATCCCGCCAGGTGAACGTCCCCTCCTCTCTCTGCCGGCGTCCATCACCAAGATGGCCGGTGGCAGGCATCAATCAGATGGTCACGCATGCGTAATGACACGGCGGTCTAGAGACTGTGTGACACCCGACCTCAGGACACCGCTGCAGCCCTCCTTCACATCACAACCTCCCCTTTTCCATTAGAATCCCCCTTTTCATAAGGAACCCCCCTTTATGACAGAAGCCCCTCTTCACATCCGGGTCCTCAGTCCCCAATTCAGAGTCCTACCATCACATCCGAGTCCTCAGTCCCCAATTCAGAGTCCTACCATCACATCCGAGTCCTCAGTCCCCAATTCAGAGTCCTACCATCACATCCCTTCCCCTGCGGCAGCATGGCAGAGGGTGGGATGCAGAGCAGGCCTGGATGGAGGTGAACTTGGTCCTCTTCTGAATGGATCCCACCCTTCTTGGATTCCATGGTGATGGCGGCCGGCCCACCTGCACCATGAAAAGACAAGGCGCCGTGTGAAAATGTTGATGGCACCCCCAGAGGAAACCAGAAGGCACCTTGGATGGAGAAGGCTGCTCTACAGAGTGCGCCCATTTAAGGGAAGCTCTTGACATGGATTGTTGGGTCCTCTGTAGGCGATCCTGAACATGTTGGTGCCACATAAAGACATAAATGAAGGAGAAGGTGCAAAAAAAAAACCCCCAGAGGTCCTCTCCAGCGGTGGAAGGGTTAACCGCTGGTGTTCGCTAATGAGGTTCTGCTATGCTACCTGACCTCTGCGTGCGCCTTCCCGTGTCCTCCATCCCACTCCTCATTTTTTTCCGTTCCTCACCTCCTTTAGGAAGAGCGCTCAGCATTGCTTCATCTCACTGGGGACTCCGCCAGGCTCGGCGCTGAAGAACATTTCCCCCCCGCCCCCCGAAAAAAACAAAATATGTCAACAAAAACTGTTGACATCTTCATCCCTGTTGGGGAGATTTACGCTCACTTCCTGTCCTAACAGGAAGTGAGGGGAAATTTCAATGGGTACACAGAAAAAGCAAAACACTATTTTAGTGTTCAAATTGGAGAAAACTTCGAATTTCTGACCTAATATTGCCGCCTCCCAGTACTATCTGCACCTCCTATTTCTAGTAGGGGCATCAGAGGGACCGGAAGTGTGGACAAATCTCCCCAATGGGGCCACAGGATCCTTATGGGGACATAAGTGACAACCCTACCCCCACTGTTCCCCTGAGGCCGGGGCTGACATTAAACATCATAGGGGCCCCGTACAGCCAGAGGAGAAGAACAAAGCAAAGCATGCTAACAGTGGGGAGGGGCTGAACACATGAGGAAAACAGAGCGCAGGGGTCAGAAGTCTATAATGTACAGAGTGCAGGGGGTCAGGTGTATGTAATATGCAAAGTGCGGGGGTCAGAAGTGTGTAATGTACAGAGTGCAGGGGTCAGGTGTATGTAATATGCAAACTGCAGGGGTCAGAAGTATATAATGTACAGAGTGCAGGGGTCAGAAGTGTGTAATGTACAGAGTGCAGGGGTCAGAAGTATGTAATGTACAGAGCGCAGGGGGTCAGAAGTATATCATGTACAGAGCGCAGGGGTCAGAAGTATATCATGTATAGAGTGCAGGGGGTCAGAAGTATATCATGTACAGAGTGCGGGGGTCAGGAAAATATAATTTACAGAGTGTAGGATTGAGAAGTAGGTAACATCAGAGTTCAGTCATATGTAATGTACAGAGTGCAGGGGTCAGTTGTATGTAATTTAAAGAGTGCAGGGGTCAGAAGTGTGTAACGTACAGAGTGCAGGGGTCAGGTATATGTAATGTACAGAGTGCAGGGGTTGGACATATGTGATGTATAAAATCAGGTGTCAGAAGTATCTAATGTACAAAGTGCAGGGGTCAGGAGTATATAGTGTACAGAGTGCAGGGGTCAGAAGTATGTAATGTACAGAGCGCAGGGGGTCAGAAGTATATAATGTACAGAGTGCAGGGGTCAGGTGTATGTAATATGCAAACTGCAGGGGTCAGAAGTATATAATGTACAGAGTGCAGGGGTCAGAAGTGTGTAATGTACAGAGTGCAGGGGTCAGAAGTATGTAATGTACAGAGCGCAGGGGGTCAGAAGTATATAATGTACAGAGTGCAGGGGTCAGAAGTATATCATGTATAGAGTGCAGGGGGTCAGAAGTATATCATGTACAGAGTGCGGGGGTCAGAAGTATATCATGTACAGAGCGCAGGGGTCAGAAGTATATCATGTATAGAGTGCAGGGGGTCAGAAGTATATCATGTACAGAGCGGAGGGGGTCAGAAGTATATCATGTACAGAGTGCAGGGGTCAGAAGTATATCATGTACAGAGCGCAGGGGTCAGAAGTATATCATGTACAGAGTGCAGAGGTCAGAAGTATCTAATGTACAGAGCGCAGGGGTCAGAAGTATCTAATGTACAGAGTGCAGAGGTCAGAAGTATATAATGTACAGAGCGCAGGGGTCAGGAGTATTTTAGCCCTCCCAAACACAGATTTAGTTACATGCTGATGGTTTATAAAGGATACATGTAATAACAATGACAGCCGCCCACACGGCTCATATAATACATTCCATCATAACAGCTGAGCAATCTTCTTCTGTATCAAATCTACTGAGCCATGAAATGCTGAGAAAGCTGAGTTCATGACATGAGAGTAACATGAGAGTGACATGAGAGTGACATGAGAGTGACATGAGAGTGACATCAGAGTGACATGAGAGTGACATCAGAGTGACATGAGAGTGACATCAGAGTGACGTCAGAGTGACATCAGAGTGACATGAGAGTGAGAACTGAACTGGCCAAAGGGAAAGACGCTTTACCCGTCACACAACCAGACTGCCCCCGGAGCTCAGGACATTCATCCGAAACCCAGAAAAGTAAATCATCGTCTTTCCTCCATTTTACATTTATAATCAGCCAAAACATTTCCCCAAACACAGATATTTATCAGAAGCCGACTCGTTTTGGGGGCTAAGCCCCTCCCCCTTCATCAGGGCTGGAACGTTAGATAGCAGATACAATTATAATAATGATAATTATACCGGATCATAAAGCAGGAAGGGAATTATAGATCGGGGACGGCCATGGACTGGTGGAGATTTTACTCATCGGGGGAATTATATTACAGACATTATCAGCGGTGACGATGGAACGTTATTAGTAATCAATGTCTCGGATTTTGTTACATTTGTATCTTTGGAATAAAGTTTTATCTGGAATATTAGATTGCGGCACTTCAGTTCTGGACTGATCACAACCCAACCTGACCATTGACCTTCCCGGGAGGAAGAGACTCTATATCAGCCTAATGTCCAGATCACCCGTTGTCACCATGACAGGAAGTGAGGAGGAATTTCTCTCATCTATAGTTTACATAGCAGTAAAAACCCCTCCCCCACTCATCTGACTCCTCCTCCATAATCCCCGGTAGTCAGCTCAGAGCGTCTCTCTGGTCTTACCTCGAAGACCTCCTCGTCCAGGAGTCTCGTCCCAAACAAGGTGACCCCTTCTGTGCTGATGGCGGCGTAGTCCCCGCGGTCCAGGAAGTGGGTCTGCTTCTTCTCACAGTCCACGTACATGGTCACGTTTTTTCCTTCCACGCTCAGCGCGATGCGGTGCCACCTGCCAGAGATCAGCAGAGACACGGAACATGGTTTGTATACATTGTAATCACACGTCATCCACCCGCCATCCACCCTCTGATTGCGCAATTCACTGCATTGTGGTGACTCCGAACCCTAAATACTGGAGCTGCTCATATTTCACCTTTTCTCCATAACTACTCACTTGCCATCGGCCAAGTTGATCTTCTTGAAGAAGGGGTAGTTCTCCGGTGTTGGGTTTCCATATTGATCTTCGTACACAAAGACTGGGGATCGGCCAATCTCCACACCCAGCTGCTGCACACCCTTTTCATTGTAAATGGATAAGAGGAAGAACTGCGCTCCCTTCCTGACTTTCAGAGTGATGAGGATGGAGAAGTCCTCCGGGAACGTGTCATCTGTAGATGGGCAGCAAGAGGTTAAAATTACAGACTTGCCTAATATCAGACATATCTATGGGGCCTGGCTACTGACACCAATAACTATGGATCTGTATTAATGTGTATTTAGAGTCTTCTTTGTTTCTTAAAGTTTAGGATGTGGACCACCAGCAAAATATGTCTTCACTGTGGGAGGGTTCAGAACCTGAAGAAGACCAGATGGAGGTCACAAATGTGGACACCTCTGGACCACAGTTCACCTGAAGAAGACCAGATGGTGCTCACATATGAGGACACCCCTGGACCACAGTCCACCTGAAGAAGACCAGATGGTGCTCACGTATGAGACACCTCTGGACCATAGTTCACCTGAAGAAGACCAGATGGTGCTCACATATGAGACACCTCTGGACCATAGTTCACCTGAAGAAGACCAGATGGTGCTCACATATGAGACACCTCTGGACCATAGTTCACCTGAAGAAGACCAGATGGTGCTCACATATGAGACACCTCTGGACTACAGTCCACCTGAAGAAGACCAGATGGAGCTCACATATGAGACACCTCTGGACCATAAACCACCTGAAGGAGACCAGATGGAGCTCACATATGAGGAGATCTCTGGAACATAGTCTACCGGAAGAAGACCAGATGAAGCTCACATATGAGGACATCTCTGGACCATAGACTACCTGAAGAAGACCAGATGGAGCTCACATATGAGGACATCTCTGGACCATAGACTACCTGAAGAAGACCAGATGGAGCTCATAATGTAGACTACCTGAAGAAGACCAGATGGAGCACTAATGTACAGAGTGCAGGGGTCAGAAGTGTGTAATGTACAGAGTGCAGAGCTCAGAAGTGTGTAATGTTAAATTACAGGTGTCAGGAAAATATAATTTACAGAGTGTAGGATTGAGAACTAGGTAACATCAGAGTTGCTCACATATGAGGACACCTCTGGACCATAGGCTACCGGAAGAAGACCAGATGAAGCTCACATTTGAGGACATCTCTGGACCATAGACTACCTGATGAAGACCAGATGGAGCTCACATATGAGGACACCTCTGGTCCATTGTTTATATACTTTGCATCTTCTACAGACTGGAGGGGGGGGGGGTATATTGCTCTGTGGCAGGCACCCTCCTGACATTTACCAACTTCCAGAGAGATCATGGAACTCTAAAGTAGTATTGTACCCTGCTGTGAGCTCTTTTGTTGTAAAGATGGAGGGTATACGATGAGGAACGGCATAAAGTAGATAAAAGAAGAGCTGCGCACCCAATTAGCTGCAAACACCATTTGGGGATATGAGAGCTGCAGGCGTTGGCTGGCAGGCATGGATGGGGGAATTGAGCAGTTTCCTCTTGCTTAGCCCAAGGGGTGAATGAGCAAAAACTATGCTTGAAGGCCAGCTTCACTCCACTGACAGATACAATATCAATATTCCATGGGTAGACTGCACATGTCAGACATGTATGATGTTCATCTTCTTTCTGGAGGCCAAAAATGACTGGTTCTCTCTAACTTATTGACAACAGTTCAGTTGGAGTGTTTTCTTTTCTCCGTACATTCTTCAGGAACCCGAAGGAAGCGCTCCTGCTGGCCCTCATACTGTGCACTTGGCATGATGATAACATTGATAAACCCACCTGGAAATAACTGCTTGGTTGGGGCACTAAAATGAGTCCTGTTCTCCAAACGGAAGGCAATATCCGTCTCTTCAATTCCTTGCCGGTGCGTACATAGTCCAGCTGCTAACGTGACTCCTTCAATGGATTCGCTGAGTTCCAGAGCTTCTAAAATGTTAACTGGCTGGCCTGGGGATGCAAAGAAAATGATTTCCAGTGAGTTGACATGAGGAACGATGAGAACACGGACTCGTCAAGACAAGTCACCTCTACTGTATACACCTCATTGCTTCAGATTCATAAGGATCAACCAGATCAACATGATAGCATACAACATCTACCAATGGCTGGAGGACATTTAAATTCTGCATCCTTCAAATAAGTGGAATGCAGTGAAACATGACATCACTTCCTGTTCTGTCTTTTTGTATCTATTTTATTTGACTTTAGAATAGATTTGGCCATGCTAGCCTGCACACTTGGTTCACAACCCGCAGGTCCCTGCAGCACTGGCCTCCACTCTGATTCCTGGGTGGAGTCCTCCTGACTACAGGTCCGGGGACCTTCTCTGTCTCCCTGGTGGAGCCCTGAACACTCGCCAGCACCCTTACTTTATGTGCAATCACTGGGTGCTGGTCACTACTAAAACATGGACCCAGGGTTGGAGGCTCTCCAAAGACACCGAATTCCAATGACCCTGACCAGGTTTTATCAATGCTGGGTGCTGGTCACTACTAAAACATGGACCTAGGGTTGGAGGATTCATCCCACCCAAGTCTCTACAAAGCCTTCGAGTTCCAAGACCCTGACCAGGTTTTATCAATGCTGGGTGCTGGTCACTACTAAAACATGGACCTAGGGTTGGAGGATTCATCCCACCCAAGTCTCTACAAAGCCTTCGAGTTCCAAGACCCTGACCAGGTTTTATCAATGCTGGGTGCTGGTCACTACTAAAACACGGACCCAGGGTTGGAGGATTCATCCCACTCAAGTCTCTCCAAAGCCTTCGAGTTCCAGGACCTTGACCAGGTTTTATCAATGCTGGAGAAAACTCCTGGAGCCTCTCAACTTGTATGGGTGAGAACCCTGGGTGCCCTTTAGCCCTTATTGTACCGTAACCAGGCCCAGGACTGTCACAATATGTAAACCGAATCGCTAACATTCCATAGAAGCTTTCACATCTGAGAGGAAAGTCATTTGTAGTATTTTTAAATCTGGAACTTTAATTAACATAATACTCTGAGGTGTGTGAGAGATCTCATGTGCTGGTACTGGGGTATGTTCCTGGTAAGGTGGGGTATAAACCCTGGGGTATGTTCCTGGTATGGTGGGGGTATATATACTGGGGTATGTTCCTGGTATGGTGGGGGTATAAATATTGGGATATGATCCTGGTATGGTGGGGGTATAAATATTGGGATATGATCCTGGTATGGTGGGGGTATAAATATTGGGATATGATCCTGGTATGGTGGGGGTATAAATATTGGGATATGATCCTGGTATGGTGGGGGTATAAATATTGGGATATGATCCTGGTATGGTGGGGGTATAAATATTGGGATATGATCCTGGTATGGTGGGGGTATAAATATTGGGATATGATCCTGGTATGGTGGGGGTATAAATATTGGGATATGATCCTGGTATGGTGGGGGTATAAATATTGGGATATGATCCTGGTATGGTGGGGGTATAAATATTGGGATATGATCCTGGTATGGTGGGGGTATAAATATTGGGATATGATCCTGGTATGGTGGGGGTATAAATATTGGGATATGATCCTGGTATGGTGGGGGTATAAATATTGGGATATGATCCTGGTATGGTGGGGGTATAAATATTGGGATATGATCCTGGTATGGTGGGGGTATAAATATTGGGATATGATCCTGGTATGGTGGGGGTATAAATATTGGGATATGATCCTGGTATGGTGGGGGTATAAATATTGGGATATGATCCTGGTATGGTGGGGGTATAAATATTGGGATATGATCCTGGTATGGTGGGGGTATAAATATTGGGATATGATCCTGGTATGGTGGGGGTATAAATATTGGGATATGATCCTGGTATGGTGGGGGTATAAATATTGGGATATGATCCTGGTATGGTGGGGGTATAAATATTGGGATATGATCCTGGTATGGTGGGGGTATAAATATTGGGATATGATCCTGGTATGGTGGGGGTATAAATATTGGGGTATGTTCCTGGTATTCAATGGAACTGAAGAAGTGGATTGGAGAATCAACCTCACAAAACAGAAGTCCAGTTGAATGCTCCTAATTACTACTACTTGTCGGCTTCATCACTGATACATGACACATGACACATTGATACATGACACATTGATACATGACACATGACACATTGATACATGACACATTGATACATGACACATGATACATTGACACATGACACATGATACATTGACACATGATACATTGACACATGACACGTGACACATGATACATTGACACATGACACATGATACATTGACACATGACACATTGATGCATTATCACATTGATACATTGATACATGACACATGATACTTTGATAGATGGAATATTACTGTGACTTGAACATCTCTGTGAAGAAAGGGAAATCCAGATGTTGGCCCCGTGAATCTTGATGCAGTGAACCCCGCGGGTGAATGTGTATATCACTGGCTGCTTCCTGACTCCTACCCCTTATAGAAGGAACACTTTCTGGGTCAGCATTCTGCCCACCGTTACCCCCCAGCGCCGGAGATGACGACATTCAGCCGCCACCCAGAAACAATTCAGAAACACATTGCTGGGATCCCGAGTACAATCTCTCGGCAGATCTCATCATTGCAGAACATTCCGCGGTTTTCTATAAAACAAATACATGTATCGCCTCTCCGTGTGCCAGTGACCTCGCATTCCCACACCGAGAGGAGACCGGATCAGAATCTAAGAACACAGACAATGATCGTAATGCTTTGTTTGTATCAGAAGTCCAAATAAATGAATCTCTGCGGAGAGCTGAACGAAGAATTCCGGCAATAAAATCCAGAAATGATTGGAGGAGGGAAAGTCTCACCGGGAGCCCCACCATCCAGGGAGAGGAGGAGTTACTGGACGGTACCGGGTCCATAGTTCTGGTGATTTCAGGTTTATTGCCACGTTGTCTTTCCTCATTTGTGAGGCTTGTCTGTTGCCGCCAGTGTTCATAATCCCGGGGCAAAATTAAAGAGGCCCTGTCACCTTACCTATCAGTGAACTGGTCCTTGTGATCCTCCCTAGCATACATGCCAAGTGGACTTACCGGGACCGTGCCTTACCTTGGCCCTCTGCCTGCCAATGTGTCCCGGGCCGTGTTCTGGGATTACAGCATGGACCTTATCCGAGTTCCTGCACATGCACAGAAACTCAAAGACGTATTCATTGCAGGGATCAGGACCATGAGTGGATGGTCCCCCGTGGTGGGGTCTGAGCAGGACCAACCCGCAAAGTAGATGTGATGTTCGGTTCCTCGCATATTTAAAGGCGAGGTCTGGTTGCCACCAACCCATACAGTGGGCATGATTTGGGCTCGTAGTAGGAGGGTAAAATATAGACAATGGGCAGGGATAACAGTGTCCCGGGGAGCTGGGACCATAAGGGCCCATTCACATGTAGCGACTTATCGCGCGATTTCCGCCGCGATATCGCGAGAAGTCGCCGGCTAATGATAGTCAATGGAGCTGTCTTAGCTCCATGTCGCGCGTCGCTTCTACAGGACCCTTTTTTCGACGGATTTTGCTTTTTTCTATGGAGCCCGACGGAGGTCGCGCTACCGTCGCTGGAACGTCGCCCCGAAAGTCGCGCTATCCCGGCCGCTGCAAAGGTAAGTCGCTACATGTGAATGGGGCCTAATGTTGGTAGGTGTGCAATAGAGTAGACTTGTGCGCCGTCAGAAAATTCGTTCCGTTTCGGAATATCCATTATTTTGTAATTCGCGTCCGAAACTCAATTCGGATTCGTACGAAATACGGATTTTCGTTAGTTTCGGCGCATTTTCGTAACTTTACGAACATTCGTTATGATGAAGTTAAAAAGCAAAAATACCTTTGTTAATATATTGGAGTCGATGTGGTAGTTGTTTTTTTTTATCCGAAATATGAATTCCGTTAACGGATTCCGTATCCAAATTTCGTATTTCGTATTAAAAAAACAAACAAACTTATCAACTCCGATATTAACAAAGGTATTTTTGCTTTTTAACTTCATCATAAGGAATGTTCGTAACGGAATTTCGTATTTCCTGCCTGTGTATTGTAATGCGACTCTCAGCAGCAGCGGATCCGTATTTCGGATAAAAAAAAAAAATCTTGTCATGTTGCTCAACCTCAATTACAGGGGTAATATTAGTTCCCGTTTCAACGAAATTCGGATCCGAAATTCGTTAACGGAATTTCGTATTTCGGATATAATTCTGAAACTGCCATTCGGATTTCGGGATGCTTCCGGAGTTACGAATTTCAGGAAAATTCGTACGAATTTCGATTAGTAGCGAAACGAATGGCACATGTCTACCATAGAGATCCCGTCACTGGCAGGTTGTCACCATCAACTGGATCTCTAGTGTGACAAGGGCCCAAGCGCCCAAATGGCTTCTTGATGAGTTCTCCGCAAGGCATCGATCCCCGTATCCATCAGATCTCCGAATCAGGTGGCCGGCTCAGGCTCTGCAGATCCCCGGTAGAGTCAATCCAAGAAACCCCCCCCCCCTCATCCCTATTAACCCCTTAGTGACCAGTGACGTCCATAGCACGCGTCACTGGCACCGGGCCCCTTTACACAGACTCCCGGCGGCTAAAGACGAAGGACTCTGTTTACAATTGTAAAGCCGGCTGTCGGCTGTACAATAGAAGCGATCAGGCGGCTCAGCCGTCGCCCGATCGCTTCTCCAAGCCGGTAAACGGCACACCCCAGCCATGTTTCCCGGGCTCCGTTGCCCCTCCTACGGCCCCGGGCTTGCCGGGTGTCGGAAGCCGGGGAGGAGATGGGTGAACCTCCGTTTGCCGACCCCCCTCCCCGTACTTTGCAGATTACATCGCTTCCGGTCCCATAGCTGTCAGTGTTCGGCTCCTGGAGCCTGCGATCTGCACTGCAATAGCTTATTTCAAATGGAAAGGTGACACTGGGGGTCTTTTGGACCCCCCAGTGTCA